TCTCGACTATCGCCACGTGTGTCCGGACGATGCGAGCCGGTGGATTACCGACTCCGATGACCGGGCGGTGAGTGCGAAAGGGCGACTTGGATGCCAAAACAGCGTTCTATAACACCAGGAAGGGGACTCCCGGCTTCCTTAGGGCGACGGAGGTGAGCTAGGATCGGATCAGGACTGGTTCTTGAGTTTTACCCGGGACGTGAGTCTGGACGATTCACTCTGGCAGTGGCTAACTTTCCCCAGACAGACGCGGATTGTGGCAACCACGTGGTAACGGGTGGTGCTCGCGAGGCCGAACTTTCCTTTCCGATGACCACGCACTCTGAGGTTATTCTTAGCGGCACGCAGCCACGAGACGAAGTATAAACCCAGGGGATCGCCCCAGTCCGATCAACAGCACATGGATAGCTTTGGGTGCTGTTTTAGCTACTTCAAGATGGCGGCAGCTCACACCAGCGGCCCGATAAATCTGTCGCCAATATCCCAACAATGGACGCGACCACGTATGGTGACTCGCGTAGTTTCAATTTTATGGTTGCGCTTCCTTTTTAGAAGTTTCTAAACCCACGTTTTTATTTTTTTTTACAAATTTCCAATTAAACACGACTCACGATTTTATATTAGCTTTTTATTTAATGTCAACAAGTTAGACTATTTAAATGTTTTTTCACAATCACTTAGACTTGATTTCGATTAGCTTCTAGATACACTTTGAAAATTTTTGATTTACGACTTTACAATTCGGCGGTCTGAACGGGAAAGCTGGAGTCGGTGCTCTTTCCGTGATCAGAAGCCTATTTTTCCAAATTTCATTTTTTTTTCCGGTTCTATCGAGCTTGATTCCAAATATTCGTATTAAAATTTTCTTTAAGGTCTGATCAATTAAATGACATGCTACTCCCCTTAATACCATCATTACCTACTGATTCGAGCACTTTGGTTGCCTATTTCTAAGGCGCAAATTAATTCCACAAATAGGGTTCTTAATGAAAGGTGGACTGTAAGTCCGTTTCATTGTATGTTATTGATATTTAATTTTAATTTTATGGTTTTTATTCGAGTCTCAAGCCAAAAAAAAAAACACACGCTGAAAACGAATTTAAGATTTAAGCACTTCAAATGAAGATATTAGAGTATCGTAAAACGGGGTATCTTTGATAATGCGGGTAGCTTTGATAGTATAATATAAAGATTAAATTTACTCGCTGCGTTTTTTTCCAAATTAGAAACATTGATTCCACATTGAACCTTATGGGTTTTCCGTTGATATCGTATCTAGTTTTTATGTAGTACGTCTAACATATTCTACAAACATATTTAAAAACAATTTTCGTGTTTTTCGCCTGTTTGAAAAAGCACTCAAACCATTACTTATGAAGTGTATTTCTGATATAGCCATAACAAATTCATTATTGTGTTATTATTGCTTATGAGGTCCCAGAAAGTCAATTTCTGACAATAAAAAATTCCGGAGGACACCAGATCTCCAGGTTTCTTGCATGTTTTAGTCATTTAGCATCAAACAAAATTTTAGTAAATTAAAATATCATTAACCTCTCTTGGGTTATATTTTAATTTTTAAAAAGCTCAAACTTTCGGGCCTCTAAATTATGTCCGATTGAGCCCAAATTTTGTACAGGATCTTTTTTCGTGGCAATACACATTTTACAAACGGTCGGTTTTGGAAATTAGAGATGACAATTTTCAGTGACACCGTAATGTCCAAACAGTTTGCTCTATTTCAATACACGAAAAAACCCATATTGTAGGGTATTCGACAGTTTTTCAGAAACCGGAAGCCGTCATCTTGGCTTCCAAAATGACGTCGAACAACGATTTCCCGCCCCTACACGTCATCCCTGTTCCAAAAATATGCATATTGTTGTCTATTTGCCAGTTTTTTACGAACAGGAAGACGCCATCTTGTATTCCTAAATGGCGTGACTCACCGATTTCCAGCCTCTACACGTCGCCCCATTTCGAAAATACCTATATTGTAGGGTATTCAACGGTTTTTCACAAACCGGAAGCCACCATCTTGTATTCCTAAATGGCGTGACTCATCGATTTCCGGCCTCTACATGTCGTTCCGGTTCCGAAAATATGTACAAATATCCCACTCGAAGTACACTTCCAAGTTTGTTTTTGGTCAAATCTATTCCTCAGAAAACACAACGCTATTTACCGTAGGGTAAGTTTTTGTTCAATTTGATGCACATAAATAAAGCGTTAAATGGATTATAAATCGTGTAAAGTTCTGAAACATTTTTAAAAATATTGCAAATATTGTATACCATAATTGTAAACAACATTGCTTACAAGTTGCTCATTTAAGTGAAATGAAATACAAGTTTCAGTTAATGAATGTTAACATCATAATAAAAATTCAGATTATTTTTGCTGTGTATGTAAATCATCGTGAAGTTTTTCGGTTAATATAAAAAATGTCAACATTAAATAAACACAATAAACATTTTTATATATTTTTTAAGGCATATAACGAACGTCTGAAGCAGGGGGAGAAGATATAGCATGGGATTTATCTTAAGATAATAATTTCGTTGACCCAACCAAAATTGGCTCTATGACTGGAAGTAGGGGAATTCACGTATTCAGCAGCGTTAATAACTGTTTGAAGGGATGTCAAATCGATTAGCGGTCTTGAACAAAGGGGTTCAGCATAGTTTTTGTAATCTAAATCTCACGTCTGCTCAAATTAGAGATATTTTTGAATTTTTGGCTAACAAGTAATACATTAGTGATACGATTTTGCCAGTCTTCCTTTTAAAACTCTTTTTGGCACTCAGTGCCTTCTTTTTGTAACTAAACTATCAGTGCCTAAAAGTTCAACTTTTCAACACTTACTATTTATAATGTTTTACGAAACGCATGCAGTTTTTCAGTCTTCTCATTCAACTAAAGAATACCTTAAACATCCATCTTGAAGGGTTGTTGGACAAAAGTTCTAAGGAAAAATGGTCAAAATACAAAAGGTCGAAGGACAAAAGGTCGGGTGGACAAAAAGTCGAATCAAATTTATAGGGACAAAATGTCGAATGGGCAGTAGGTAGAATGTACAAAAGGGTGAATAGACAAAAGGTCAAAAGACAAAAGGTCGAAAGACGAAAGGTTGAAACACAAAAGGTCGAACAACAAAAGGTTGAAAGACAAAAAGTTGAAAGACAAAAGATCGAATAGATTCAAGGAACAAAAAAGGTACGTACGCTCCCCAACAGAATCTTAACACTAGAGTTAAGACTTGATCTTTATGAAAACTGCTATATTCTCCGTAACCCGGTAAGATAATTCCATCAGAACGGGATTCGAATCCAGTGCATTAAACAAATTGCAATATCGCCAAAGGTGCACTTCGTTTTGGGGAAATTGGAGCAAATCGAATTCTTCACTTTAAAACTCATCACGAAATGTTTGCTTCCATCATGGATCGACCAATGAACAAAGTACACTGAACAATAGCTGCTATAGAATATAGAGACGATCACGTGGTACAACTACCGCTGTTAGTTTCAGCAACATCCGAGAACAAACTGTATCCTTCTTCATGATACGATCAACTTTAAATGGTCGTTTTAAACCTTCTTAAATACTCATACTACTTTTGAGTAAACAGTACGAAACATATTTGGATACCTTTTTTCCATCAACAAATTTGGCACCTTGATATTTCATTTGACCTTTTATCCCTGCAACCATTTGTCCTTCGACCTATTTTATTTCGACCTTTTGTCCCTTACCTTATGTGAAATTATTGGAACATAAAAGTATGATGCGCGAAGGGGCTGACAAAATCGGGTCATTACTGTAATTCTATTCCGTTTTCCATACGTTTTCCCAAACAAACTTTAAAGTTCTTCCGAAATGCAGATCATAACCAAATGCGTTCAAATTTAGCACTGTTGTTGGAGACCTCAATGCACATCGAAAGAGCAGTGGGAAGCAGAGAGTTGTAAAGTTGACCCTCCCTAATGAGCAGTTCTTTGGCAGGTAAAAGATATTGAACATTTCAATTGAAAATGATCGAAAGTTATTTATATCACTTGGAGTTAACTTCTTCCTTGTAACGTGAAAAGTTCTTTGCCAGACTCCAACTTATAATGTTCGACAATCCTTTCGAACTTTTATCCATTCGACATTTGTCAATTTCGCCCTTTTGTCCCTTATAATTTTATTCGACCATTTGTCTATTCAACCTCTCGACCCTTTATATTTTGTTCGATTTTCGGTCCATTCGACATTTTTTTCCATTAGACCCTCTGTTCATTCAACCTTTTATCCATTTCGACCTTTTGTCCATTCGACCTTTTGTCTACTTAGATCGTTTGCTCATTCAACCTTTTGTCCATTTCGCCATTTGGTCCATTCGACCATTTGCCAGTCACCTTTTTGAAAATCTTTTCTAATGTTCTACGAAACCCATGCACTTTTTTAGTGGTCTTATTGCACCTTACGTTAAACATTCATTTTGATGATGAATAAGAAATATTTTGAATTACGGTTATGTGAAATTATTGAGAGATAAAAGTCTGATGCGCTGACAAAATCGGGTCATTATTGTATCTCAGTAAAATTTGTTTGCTGAAAGTTTGGCTGTGCGGATCTCGGTAAAAATGGCCGAGATTCAGCAAACGAAATTATGTGTGTGTGACAAATGTGTAGACTTCAAAGAGGTCAACAACAGTATTACAAAAATGTTCAAAGCCATTGAACCGGAATCAGCATTATTGCCGCTGCGTTTTACTGCAACAATGTAACTAGTATTCTGCCTCATTTTTCAATAAAAGTCACTTATCGGCCTGCTAAAAATAAATCCAATCAACGTAAAAGGCATCCATTTGTCATGAAAATTAATACCCATTTTTCACATGCCAATTATTTCGCTGAGGCTGCTACCGAGAAAGTCGAAGTAGATCAATTACACTGCGCACATTTTCCCCGAACCCACGGACCCAGCAAACGAAATTGAGCATCAAGTTACTTACCGTATTCCGCAGCTCGATCTGCCGATTGTCGACCGTGGTGTTCCGGTAGCTATCGTAGTTGAATGGCCTTGAGATGATGTAGCCGATGAATTTCGCCAGGACACGCATCGTCGTCGTCGATTCCGGCCGTACCTGTTGTTGCGAGGAGAAACGAGGAAACATCAGTGAAACCAAGCCCTAAGCAAACAATCGCGTGAAATGATAGCATAAAGTATCCGACCAGATGATGATGTTTACTGCTGGACTCGAGGGTTTTGCGTGGCATGTGCTGTTAGTTACTATAGGGAGAAGGTGATTTCGCACAAAACCAGGAAGCTATCCGGAGGTGGAGGACTGTTTTCCGGTCCACCTTGGACCACAAATGTTGTAGCAAAAAAGAAGGAGAAAAGGAAATTGAAAATAATATTTGGCCCTTTCTTTGGTTTCACGATGAGGTGTTGCTGCGTGGTGTGAGAAAAGATCGATAAGAGTTCAATGGTTTTTGCTCGTTGGTTTTTTTTTGCGACATGAATTAACTGACAATATTCAGTGGTTCTCATAGACATAGTAGAACAATTGACTCTTTTTTAAGATTGTAGTGCGATAAAGGGTAAGCCTTAGTACATCTAACGTCAGGTGTTCTTCGTATACTTTAACAACTGTTAATTGAGTGCTCTATTAAATTAACTATATTTATAATATAAACCTGAATATATGGTAAGATCTAACCCTTCTTACTTATTTAAATTTCGACAATAACATTCAAATTCGCGTTCAAAATAATATGGTTAGATGTGTCATAATACATATACAATTGTGGCCCATTTATTCCAGGACACAGATCATGATCTAAGATCTAAGATCTGGGTATTTTCGGAACGGGGACGACGCGTAGATGCTGAAAATTGATATTCGAGGCCATTTTTGAATCCAATATGGCGGCCATCGGGTTTCAGAAAAAGTGTCAAATGCCCTAAATTATGGAAATTTTCGGAACGAATACGACACGAACATGCCGAAAATTGATGTCCGGTGTAGTTTTGGATTCCAATATGGCGGCCATCGGGTTTCAAAAAAGTTTCAAATACCCTACGATCTGGGTATTTTCGGAACGGGGATGACGGACGCGTAGATGCCGAAATAGATATTCGACACCATATGTAGAGCATTTGACACTTCTTATGAAATCGGAATGGGGTCGGTCTTCGATTTCCCCGATTAAAAAAATACTCACATTGGTCGGTATTTGACAGTAGGGTCTGTATCCACATTAATTCCGACAGCTTCAAATCACTGTAACTTTTGAAATATTGCACGTAGGAGTGAAAAAATTCGCTTAGGTATAGCTGGGAGTCATTGAAGAAAAAGACTATGATTGGTGTTTACATTCCATGTTTAGTGTTCAAGATGGCGACGAATGAAAAACACGTGCGCTAGCGGATTTTGTACGGACGTAATGCAAATCCTGGCTTGCCAGTACGGGAACTTGCAAACCAATTGGATTTAACTAAATCTACTGTTCACGGTGTGCTGAAATCATTTTCGGAACGTTTGGCGGTCGAGAAGCTGAGAAGTGATAAAAACATTGGACGTGCTGATCCTGTCATGGACCGAAAGGTGAAGAGGATATTGAAGGAAAACCCGAATCTCTCTGTTCGAACGGTGGCGCGTAAAATAGGAATGTCACCTGGTTTTGTCCAAAAGTCAAAACAGCATTTGGGGCTGAACACGCATCAAGTAAATCAAGTTTCAAATCGCAACAACAAACTGAATTTGACAGCAAAATCACGGAATCGACGTTTGTACTGCGAATAGTCGACGAAGTTTTCATGCCTTGTTATGGACGATGAATCTTATGTCCTGGAAGATTTCAAGCAGCTTCCAGGGCTGGCTCTCTATTCTACTACAGTGCCTTTCCGTTTTTGGCAACATATGATTTTTGTCTTCTTCACTTTCTAGAAAACCCATCGAATGCTTAAATCCATATTTCTGATATCACTAGACCCCTCTTTAAGGATCCATATCTACTTGGAATTTCATGAAAAATTCCCTAGCAAGCGCTAGCACAAATTCGAAGAAAGAATTAGTTGATGAAGTCGTGTTGCCATAAACGGAAAAGCACTGTAGGGCCAAAAATGCTAGAGCTGAGTATTTCAGGACGAAGACGGCATCGATATTTCCTAAAAAATAACTTATTTGGCAAGCAATTTGCACATGTGGCCGAAAGATTAACTCTTTCGTCTCTACAGGCACAATAAACAAGGAGATTTACCAGAAAAAGTGCCTGCACTTCCAACAAATTTGGACAAAGACGACCACCACGGTATCTGCGGAGTCTGTACAAACCCTAATGGATTAAGTTAAGCGCAAAGTTCGAAAATGTTATGCAAATATCGAATAACTGTTTTGACTGCGGGAATTTTTTAATCATATCTTATGAATCTGAAATAAACATTTCGCGTTTGGCTTTCAACGTTAGCAGTTCAGCTCGTGCCATGTTCTGTGTGTGCATTTTGTCTTTCCTTTGTTTGTGCGTGCTGGCGTTCCGCCCAGGGATGCCAGATGATTTTTTCAAAAGTCTGTATGAGTGTCAAAAAATCAGTCAATATTTCAAAGGGGCTTAATTGCATTTGTAAACAATGTCTTTAGCCATCGATTTCTCGCGAATAAAAGCATACTCATGATGATTAATGACACTAGCAGATAGAAGAATGTTTCCTTTACCAGCTAGTATTGTTAATTTGAAGGGATGGGCTTTTATTTGCGAGAAATCGATAGCTCAAGCCATTTTTTACAAAAGCAATGACGCCCCTATGAAATGTTAGCACTGAAATATGTATGTATTGTATTATATGTATGTACACTAGAAAAAATCGCCGCATTGCTGATTACGTATTTCCCAGAGTTGATAATAGAAGAGTTACGCAGCTTGCAACACTGATGTCGATCAATGGACATTGTTTTATTTTGGCAACCTTTGTTTTTGTTTACACCTCGGATGACTTCACATGGGCTGTGAAAGTTTCCTCTAGTTTCGATAACAATACTTCCAATGCAACATAGCCAGTTTGTCTACTATGCTCGATAGGTAGACGGTTTGACAGTTCGATAGGTAGATGCTGGTTTCAGTCTGCGTAACTCTTCTATTATCAACTCTGGTATTTCCCACATATATATTGTGGCTATAAAATTGCTCGCCACACACTAAACTGAATAAATAAGCATTTTTGTACTTAAAAAGTGCGTTTATGTTTTATTTTTTAATTTTTATTCCTAGTAGAAAAAATACAAAGTTATAACTTAAAAAGAATTTTGCTGTTTAAAATCACGAGATTTAAAAATATAAATATCCCATTCAAGGTCCATGTACCGAACCATCGTAATAAAGTGAAAACGTAAAAAAGTAACAAATGAAAAATTGTCGACCATAGGCATGTGGGTAAGGCTAGAAAAAGGGAAAATCTATTATATCAAATATCAAATAATAACGGTGCCGGTGGTGTAGTGGTAAGCGTGATTACCTCTCACCCCAGCAGGCCTGGGTTCAATCCCAGTCGGCGCCGCCGGGATGTTCTAAGGCATAACATCTCTGATCACGCCTTCCTTCGGATGGGAAGTAAAGCCGTTGGTCCCCGGTTCATGAGTTGATGGGTCGATAGGTAGGGTCCAGGTGTGGGAGCTGCCTTCCTGGCACGTCGGTAGCATTGGTGCTCAGCACGGAAAACAAGATCGACGGAAAAAACAAAACCAAAGGAAAAAATATCAAATAAATGAGAAACGATCAGAACTTCAATCATTTAAATTTGTCGAACCTCTGTGGTGTTGAGTGCTTGGCACTGAAGGCCCAAACGCAATGTGGGCGGAAGCGGAACGGAAACGGAAAGTTTGACAATTGTCACAAATGCCATCAAGATGCCTAACCGAAGTCGATTTGATTCTAATTAGTTTTCAATCCGACAAGTAGGCTTACTCTGATCGGGCTTTTCCGCTGCCGCTATCGTTCCGCTTCCGCTGTCATTGCGCTTGGGCCTTGATGAAGTCTGCAAGTAGTAGACGAAATACGCGTATCTGTCAAAAGATAAGCAATTCAAGACCAACAATTGAAATGGCCTTAACTCCATTTTGTAAACAAACCTTGCAATGTCATTTTCTCGCGAACCGAAGTCCGAAAAGGCAAACCAACATAATGAACTGGTAGGGGAAATTCTCCTCTACCCGATTGTGGTTTAGGTTTGCGAATGAAGGTTTCGGTTCGCGAGAAAATGGCCTTACAAGGTTTTTTCACTAAATGGAGTTAAGGCCATTTCAATTGTTGGTCTTGAATTATAACGGAATTTAAAGGAAATAAACCAACCCACTCAAAGCTCTTCAGATCAGAACTTACCGAACAGATGTTATTATTTAGTCTTATCATATATGTTGCTTTAAAAATAGTCGAAAAGCTGTTCATAATCATAACAGTACAGTCGAATTTCGTTCGTTGGGCTATCTTTAAGTGGGCTACGATTTAGTTGAGCTCCCGTTAGATGGGCTGTAGCCTACCTAAATCGAAGTCAAACGTCATTTCTGACAATGCTGATTCATTTTCGAGGGGCTCATGGATGAACAAGTATCCAATTGCTTAAGGATTGTAATGATAATAATCAATCGGTGTATCCCTCAACCCAGCTCAGTCCAACTAACTAAAGTTTTTCATTTAGTGGACTATAGGTTTAGCCCAACGAGCGAAAGTAGACTGTACCATAAACATAACAAGATGCACACACTATACGAATAAGTTTGTTTATTTTATGTTAATTTTCAGGAACCAATTAGTAAAAATCTGTACAAAATCTGTATTAAGTTTCAAATATCTGTATAATGTATGTAGTCTGTATTGGGTATGTACGAGACTTCAAAAATTTGTATAAATACAGATTTATCTGTATATCTGGCACCGCTGGTTCCGCCTCCCGGACGAATGTTGTCATCGTCGTGTTTGTGCGTTGAGGTTGTCTTTCAGAAATGCAATCGAAGTGTGCCGTGGCCGCTATTAGACGCGTGGGTTTTCGGTCGCTGGAGTTTTCGGTTCTGATTTCGGCGTTGGTCGCGAGTTGATTCGGCCGGTGAGGAGCTGGTGGTGCGTCTTACATACAGTGTACTGGCGAACTGAA